CTTGCTAATATATACCAGAATTATGTTTGCTTTTTTGTTATTTTTTTTGCAGTCATGTTACACTGTTGATAGCTTGCATTTATTATGTCCCCCAGATCCCTTTCCATAATACTCCTTCCTAGACAGTCATTTCATATTTTATGTGTGTGCAACTGATATTTCCTTCCTAAGTGGAGTACTTTGCATTCGTCCTAATGAATTTCATCCTATTTACTTCAAATTATTTCTCCAGTTTGCCCAGATCATTTTACATTTTAATCCATCCTCCAAAGCACTTGAAACCTCTTCTCCCAGCGAAGTGTCAGCTGCAAACCTTGTAAATGCATTCTCTATGCCTTAATTAAATCATTTATAAAGATATTGAATAGAACTGGACTCAGGACCGAACATTGCTTGATATACCCTTCCATCTTGATGGGTGACGGTTATCCAACCAGTCACCTTACAGCAGCTCTGTTTAGGTTGTATTTCCCTAATTTGTTTATGAGAAACAGTATCAAAGGCCTTACTAAAGTCTATGTATACTACTTCTACCATTTCACCCCCTCTCTACAAGGCTTGTTAATGTTACCCTGTCAAAGAAAGCTATTAGGTTAGTTTGACAGACTTTGACAAATCCATGCTGACTGTGACTTATAACCTTATTTTCTTCTAGATATTTTCAAATTGGTTGCTTGAATATTTGCTCCAGTATTTTTCTAAGTACAGAAGTTAACCTGACTCATCTGTAAATTCCCTGAGTTGTCCTTATTCTCCGTTTTATAGATTGGCACTAACTTTGCCCTTTTCTAGTCTTTTGGCATCTCTCCTGTCTCCCATGACTTTTCAGAGCTAATCACTAATGGCTCAGATATCTCCTCAGTCTGTTCCCTGAATATTCTAGGATGCATTTCATCAGGCCCTGGTGACTTGATGACATCTAACTTGTCTAAGTAACTTTTAATTTGTTCTTTCCCCATTTTAGCCTCTGACCCTACTTCAATTGATTGGTGTTCACTAAGTTAGATATCCAGTTTTGGTGAAAACTGAAACAAAAATATTATTTAGCAGTTCTGACATTTCCACATTTTCTGCTATTGTTCATCCCTCCCTCCCTTGAATAAGAGGCCTATCCTTTCCCTGGTCTTCCCCTTGCTTCTAATATATTTCTGGAATTTTTCTTGTTACTCTTTAAGTCTTTAGTTAGTTTAATCTCCTGTTGTGACTTGGCCTTCCTAATTGTTTGCTACATGCTTCTGTTTGTTTATATTCATCCATTGCAATTTGATCTAGTTTCCATGTGTGCGTTGGTGGCACGTTGGCAGAGGTGATGCATAACTGTTGATAGTGTGTGTATGGAGGGGCACAGTTTAAAGGTTCTGGTGTGAACTCTGGCAGCAGAATGTGGGACAGCATGTAATATGACCTTGTGAGCTGCAGCATAGGCTCACAGTCTCTCGCTGTGCCGCCTTCAATGCAAAGCCGAGCAACTTCCCTGCACCTCCCAGCTTAGAGCTAGCTCCTGGCCAGCCCCACCTTTATCCACAGGCTCCTGGTCCTTTCTGATCATTGGATGCAGGATCCCAGCCCCCAAAGGCTCTATTTCTGGCTCCATGTTAAAGTGCTTTGTGACTCTTGGGGAGAGATGCTGCTGGAGCAGAGCAAGCTGATTGCGGCACTGGGGAGATAAGCCTTGTGAACCAGCCTTGGAAACCACCCATGCCTCAGACCTCACTGATTTCTGCTAGGCAGAGGTGACACATAGCTTCGGGGTGGGTGCATGCACAATGTAAAGGTTCTGGTTTGAAGTCTGGCAGAAATGACCCTATGTTCCCTCTATATGTTGCTTCTACACTTTGGTCTCTCCTGTTCTTTTCCTGTGGCAAACAATTTAATTTCCCCTGGACTAAAATGCTTTAGTCTAGAGAGTGTTGCTGGGCTTGACATAAGGGTGTTTGGGTGAAAATTCATGGCCTCCGATATACAAGAGGTCAGACTAGACGATGTAACGGTCCCTTCTGTCCTTAACCTTTACAGAACTATGAAAAGGCAAGTGTTGTGTAGTGCTCATGTCCCCCAAACCCTGTGCATTCACCAGTTGCAAAAGCACTTCACTAACACTACTGACCTTTGGCAGGCTTAAAAAACCTGGTGCAGAATTTAGAGCAGGTGGAGCACACAACACAACCCGCTGCTTCCTCTTGAAGGTAAGTACATTGTGTAGTTGAAGTGCCCTAGTTTTCAGTGCTGTCTGCAATGTTCTGCCACTGGCTTTCATTATGTGTTGTTAATCAATATGAATTAAATAAATACGTTTCCTGAGGCAATGTGGGAGAGAATAAGGAGCCTTTCACCTGGCATGGCTCCTGAAAGTGAGGTCCATGCAGTATAACAATGGCAATACCAGAGACAAAGGATAGGTGGAGCCACAGTTGTTATGCCACTATGATCCTGCCATCCGAATCCTTTGAAATGGCAAATTTCTTTCCCACCAGCTCAACTGGGGACTTCCCCAATGATGTTTTTTTCTGTGCCCAATCATTTTTTTTCTACCCTAAATGCAGGACTGAAACTAATGCTACAATGTAGCCACAGGTGGCAATATGGACGACCATCAAGGGCACTGTGGTCAGGGTTGCCATGGTCAAGGGGCTGCAGAAGGGCTGTGCCCACCCAGGAGACAGAGAGAGGAGATAAAGGGGGTTACAGGTAGCAGCCAGGAGCTCATAAGTATCCTTTCTCTATCTTCCTGGCTGCATGACACCTGCAGTGCTACTGCTGCTCTGCCCTCCGAGCTGCAACCCCATGCTTAGGGACCAGTACTAAAAGGGCACCAAAGACAGTTCACCCAGGGTTCTATTTTCCTTAAATCCAACTCTTGCTGATTCTTACTCTCCTTTTTTACATTACTTTGAGAGACTATGGCTCATTAATTCTAGGACAAAGCTCCAATCTACACTTCCCCAAAGCCACAGTTGATAGCCTTCAGATCTGAGGCTTTAATTTGGCCCATTAGTAATGTGGACCCAAACTTTACTCCTGTTGGAGGGAGTTTGAGTCTAGGGCTTTGGGTTATCTTCATTTATGATGTCTGTCTGTATGTTTTTGTTTTATTTATTTTTACTTATTTATGTTGTGTGAAATGTAATAAAGCCTTGAAAAACACACACCCGTACACCATAGAAGTGCACGTATTGAAAATATAACTAGCTAATTTAGAATCTGGCCCTGACATTCAACTTAACAATCTGCTTTTGAGAAAAGTGTCATGGGATCTTAGTGACTGCAGATCATCAGGGCTTAGATTTAATGTCTCCGCCAAATAATGACTATGCATAATGCCATTACATTGTTTGTAGATATTCTTAATGGGGTGTTTTACATCATAGGAGTATGATTCACTTTTAAAATGTTACTGAACCTTTTATACACAAAGTGTAATGAAGGAACACCAGGAATACAGATTGTAGGGTAGGCACTATAGCTGCTTTTCCAAGTGAAATAATTTGACTATTTTTGATTGTTTGAGAAATACCAATGACTGAACTCAAAATTAAGCTATTGCTTTGAAATGGCAGTTTTCTTTTTCGTTAGAAAGAAATATGAGAAGAAAAGTATGTTCAGTTAAAAATACTCCCTCCTGTGTAAATGTGTGTGTGCGTGTGTGTCTGAGAGAGAGAGAGAGAGAGAGAGAATGCATGCATGCCAAAATGTACTGGGAAATGAGTAAATTTAAATCAAATGTCATGGGGGTGTCTGAATGACATGCCAGAGGATACCTTGTGAAAGCAAGGAAAGAAGTCTCACAGCTGTGATAGCAGATAGTTATAGGGAAGGAGGAGAGAGAGAAGGAGAAGAAGAGTGTGGATAGTCAGGAGTTGTATTCTGAGGTCCAAATATATGAATAATGGGACGCTTGAAGGACACCCACATTTTAAAAATGTTTGGCTAACACCGAGGCGTAGTGCTGCTTACCCCTCATAATCAATTTCACTCAAAAGGGTGAAAAGAATAATCCACCTAAAGAGTGTTTTCCATTTCCTACCTTTGAGATGCAGAATGTTGCATCACTTCTTGCTTTATTCATGGTTTCATTTTCAAAAGTCTAAGATTAGCAAAGTAGGTTTTGAGGTAAACTCATGCAGCTCTCATTGAACCCAGTAGGATGCACAATCATGTATACACGAGTAGGGTATGTTTTTGTGAATTAAAATATGCATTTCTCATAAGTAAGATTTCCTGTGCATTTTGCCACCCATTTTAAAATCATTTCCCTAAGCGATTGATAAAGGAACACAAACTGCCCAATCTGTTGTGTTAATGTTTTCCTTCAGTATTAACTACATGAAATAAAAAGAATGTGCCAAACCCTCTACTGGAAAAATTGGTGTACCTCCTTGTAAATCAAGGGATCTATGTTGAATATCTTACCCAATTAATACAGCAGCATGAGGAGAAGTCTTGGTGTTATACTCTCTTCGCGAAAGGGAAATAAGCCTCTTTACCCTAGAACATTTAAATCTTTCACTTTTTTATTAAGAAAAAAAATCTGTCTCTCTTTCTAACATAAACCCTTTGGATCAAATTCCCATCTCAGTTACACTAGGGTAAATACAGAATAACTCTTAAATGCCTTCTGTGGAACTTTTCAAATTATGCTCAAAGTAACTGATGGTATTCTCCACTTGCAACATTCATCAACTGAGAAACTTTCTAAGCAAAGAGAGACATTTCTTGGATAAGACACATGCAATAGATTAAATATCAGATTTCCCTATCCAGCTGTCCATTAATGCCTTTTACTATTATCTGTCTCTCTCTATAATTAGGACAGCTTCTGGTTTATCTGGACTTTTTTCAAAACCAGATTTCCTTCACAGCAGTAGCTGTCATTCACAAGGGTCTGAACGATATCTTTTAAAGGAATTAACATTTTGCATTATTATGCAACAAAGAGGAATAAAGTACATTTAAGGTGTTAGACAAGCTCTTTATGTTAAATTGTAAAATGCTTTACTTACCCTGGGTGACACACTTTCATTTGGCAGCTGATTTTTCTCAGACAGGCCACTAGTCCATTTCCTTTCCCAATGACAGGTTTTATCCGTCTCTTGTCTATGACATAAACCAGCTTGGATTAGAAAGCTTTCTGTCACCTGGTGCATTTGTGTTGAAATGGCACCTCCTGGACCATGAAACAGTGCACTGGTATCCATTACATTTGTTCCCGTTTGAACAGAGTCTCTTGTGTTTCTTAAAGGTTTCCAAAGTTCTTTGGGGTCTAATAGATTTAAAAGGTCTCTTCTAAGCCTCTCTATCAAATTGACAACAGCATCTTTAGATTTTTCTTCTGCCAGTTTTCTCCTTATCCCATTAAACTGCTGTGAACTCTGATTTGACATACTATTTACTATCATTGTCTCCGAGGCTTGATTTGTTAGAAAACTATCTAAGCCACAATCGACTTCTGCAAGTACGCCATCCATGTTCTGTGATGATTTGTCAAGAGGGAAATCTGCCACCGAGTGGTTACTTGCGCTGTTTTCTTCAAGTCTAGGATAATCGTTTTCAATCACTGTAGAAGCGATGGGCAATTTATACTTTTCCTTGTTTTTCATTGTAGTGGTTTTATCTTGATGGTGCCCAACAGTAAGAGTCATTCCTGTTTGCAAGGTTGACTGACTGTTTGTGGAGAGATCTCTTCTTACAGCTTCTTCTTTGGATTTTGAGTGATGACCACAGAAGCCAATGGTGGTATCCATAGGCACAGTGTTATCTGACACTTGAAACAGGCAAGGCATTCCTCTGAGGAAATAATCACACCCATCACAATCTTTGCCCAACTTCATATCATCTTCATCATCACTTTCTAATAAAAATTGTAATTTCTTTCCCCAAATTTCATTTACAAGGTCTGTCTTCACATCAGAACATTCCAGGAACTCAAGGTCATTAGAAAACTCATCAGCTGTGATTAGAGTTTTACCTGGATAAAGCTCAAAGTTAGTGTCACAGATCTGAGAGGTATCTGCTACAACATTATGCTGATTTTCTGTGGGAATGTTGGCCTGATAACTGGACTGGGTATTCTCAGTCAGAAGTTTATTGAGGCTACTCTGTTCATACGCCTTGGCATCTTCAGCGGTGTGACTAGAAACTTCAGCATTAAGGCAACAGTTGTCTGTATGATTACTGACTAGACTTGTTGGTTTGGAATACACTTGTTTGCTGCAGTATTTGGCTGCTTTTCCAGCTATTTCACTAGCTACAGTGTTCAAGTAAACAAACTCATTTGCATTTTTTGAGACACACATTGTGCAACCATCATTTTTTGGGGGTTTAAATACTTTTTTATCATTCATATTGTCTTCCAAGATATGTATGATTCTGTACTGATTCTCCTATGAGGATGACATCTATTTCTATAGGTTGCTCTAGTGACAAACTATTGATTTTTGTAGAGGCTGACCCAGGTGAAATTCAACTGGAGCAATTCCTTTTCCCAGGTAAAGTTTTCTCAGTTTGCCTGGCTTGATCTGAACCTTCACACTGAATGCATTGGCTTATTTCTTTCTTCTTTCTCCTACATCATCATTTTGGTATAAGAATAATTTTTGGTGAATTTTGTGTCTGATTTCGCTGCAACAAAATCTTAACGGTGAATCATTTGGAAGTAATTTCTAGCCACGATTGGACAAAATGCATCATCTTGCTTTGTTAATCTGTAAATAAAATAAATCTGTAATTTATAATATCCATGTGTAAATAGGATATACATGTGAGTTTTTGCATGTGTACACATTTTTGCTATTTTGTCAATTATTCAGAGGCAATAATCATTATTCTTTGAAATTGCAATGTCTGAGTGAAATTTCCATAAACCCATTACTAGTAGCACTTTGAAATGATCAGTCTGAAGGGATTTTAAATGATTTTTTTAATGTTTTATGTTTTTATTTCTTGTTTGCTTGATGCAGCTGAAACACTGAAATGACACTTAGTTTCAATTTCCTGTTTATATTACATTTTACTTTTTTACTGTCATGCACAAACAGTACAACAGTGTGTAGCTTCATAGACAAAGTTTTTAAAAATAGCTAAAAGAAAAACAAAATACTCAAAAGTTTCTTATAATTTAAAATTGAAAAAAAATATGAAACATTTATTCCTTTTGGGCTTTTAGAAAACACTTCTAAATTTTACATTTAGTTGCTGGACAGTGTCTAAAACAATACTGTTTGCTTTGCGTTAGTCGTTTCCAGCAGCAAAAATACATCCTCGTGGGCATGTGAAAAATACAAAACAAATAAACCAAGCTCAACCCCAATCTTTGGGTTGTATCATTCTGTTAAAAAACAGGCACTCAGAGCAGTGCTATTATATGCCTGAGCAGCCCCCCTCTGTTTTCAGTGGCACTACTGTGAGAGTAAGGTACTTACTAACCAGAATAAAAAATGGTGGCAGATTTGAGCTCATTGAATGTAGGGCTCAAGAAAGGAACAAGATTAATAGCCCTGAAAAATAAAGTACTATATTTATTCTCAGAACAGGTGTGGCATGCAGAGCTGAAATGAAATCTTACTCACACTATTTTCCTAATGTGTCTGAGCCCTGTCTGTATGATTACTGTATGATCTGATGAATGACTCTGAGGATGCACAGCTCCCCAACCGGTGAGTCCTTTTCAGTTAAAATATCTTCCTTCATTCTCTGAACTACGTGCTGTAGATTCCCAAACCCTCTAATCTCTTATGTTCTTTGCATGCAAACTTCCCTGCTGTCCCTACAAGCTCTTTCAGTTGCTGTAATGGGGACTTAAGCAGAGCAGTCAGTAGTACTGTCAGCTGCCATCTGTGCCATGTCCCATTGTAGGAACTGATCAAAGTCAGTCAGCATGAAGACACAGGATGAGCTAGATTAATGTCTAGTGGGTCTGTAGCAAGAGATGTGTATGGGCTGTTTTGAAATTGAAACCGCAGTTTATACGCTGTTCTTTTGAAAATGGGGTGGTTTTTTGAAAGATCCTGTAAACCTCATTTTTCAAAAGAGCACCATTACGTGATTATGCAAATGAAGCTTGGTATAGTTAAATCCCTGCTTCATTTGCACTTTCGAAGTGCTTCATTTTACATCCCTCTGCTGACAGAGGGATGTAGTCTAGACACACCCTCATTCATAGCATAGTCACAGAAAACTTCACATGTCCTTATAACATTGCCACATGCTCTTTCTCCTGCTTTATTTTATTTTATTTTATTTTATTTTATTTTATTAATATCATAGTGCCTAAGAGCCCCCTCATGCACCAGGACTCCATTGTGCTAGGTGCAGTATAAAAAAGACAGTCTCTGCCCCAAAGAACTCACAATGAGATTAGGTGACAACAGATAGATAGACAAATGGGGGAGTGCAAATTAAAAATGGGGGAGTACTGGTTAGACTGATAGGCAGTGGTCTCAGGGTATCAGCTGCCTTCTGCTGGCCATGTTTTTAGGCATCATAATGAAGAATTTTGAGGGAAGGATTTCAAGGAAGATAAAGAGCTGTGAAGATGTTAAAAGGTAGCGCCTCCCAAATATGAGGGATGTCACTGAAGAAAGCATAAAGGTGCTTATTTAAAAAATTAACAAGTGGGCACTGGAGGCTGGCCTAATGGGCTGATTAGAGGTGGAAGTCAACATCACTACATCAGAGAGCAGTTATTAACGGTTCAGAGTCCTGATGGAAAGGCATAACAAGTGAAGTTCCTCTTCAGGGTCTGTTTTCAAACTGGTTCTGTTCAATAGCTTCATCAACGATTTAGATATTGGCAAAGAGAGTATGCTTATTAAGTTTACAGATGATACCAAACTGGGAGGGGTTGCAACTGCTTTGGAGGATAGGGTCATAATTCAAAATGATCTGGACAAACTGGAGAAATGGTCTGAAGTAAATAGGATGAAGTTTAATAGGGACAAATGCAAAGTACTGCACTTAGGAAAGAACAATCAGTTTCATACATACAGAATGGGAAGCGACTGTCTAGGAGGTAGTACTTCAGAAAGGAATCTAGGGGTCATAGTGGACCACAAGCTAAATATGAGTCAACAGTGTGACATTTGAAAAAAAGAAAAGAAAATGTGATTCTGGGATGCATTAACAGGAATGTTGTAAGCAAGATTCTAAATCCTGCTGTTGTAAGTAGAGAGTTGTTGTTAACGGTTCTAAATCCTGCTGGAAAGGGATAACAAGTGGAGTTCCTCAAGGGTCTGTTTTGGGACCCGTACTGTTCAATATCTTCATCAATGATGTAGATATTGGGATAGAGAGTACTCTTATTAAGTTTGCAGATGATACCAAACTGGGTGGGGTTGCAACTTCTTTGGAGGATAGGGACATAATTCAAAATGACCTTAGCAAGTTAGAGAAATGGTCGGAGGTAAACAGGATGAGGTTTAATAAGGAGAAATGCAGAGTGCTCCACTTAGGAAGGAACAATCAGTTCCATACATACAAGATGGGAAGCGACTGTCTAGGAAGGAGCATGGCGGAAAGGGATCTAGGGGTCATAGTGGACCACAAGTTGAATATGAGTCAACAGTGTGATGCTGTTGCCAAAAAAGCAAATATGATTCTAGGTTGTATTAACAGGTGTGTTGTAAGCAAAACTCGTGAAGTCATTCTGCCGCTCTATTCTGCACTAGTTAGGCCTCAGCTGGAGTACTGTGTCCAGTTCTGGGCGCCACATTTCAAGAAAGATGTGGAGAAATTGGAAAGGGTACAGAGAAGAGTGACAAGAATGATTAAAGGTCTAGAGAAGCCTATGAAGCCAGGCTTCATGAACTGGGCTTGTTTAGTTTGGAAAAAAGAAGATTAAGGGGGGACATGATAGTGGTTTTCAAATATCTAAAAGGGTGTCACAAGGAGGAAGGTGAAAATTTGTTCCTCTTGGTTTCTGAGGACAGGACATGGAGTAATGGGCTTAAAGTGCAGCAGGGGAGGTTTAGATTGGACATTAGGAAAAAATTCCTAACTGTCAGGGTGGTCAAATATTGGAATAAATTGCCAAGGGAGGTGGTGGAATCTCCCTCTCTGGAGATATTTAAGAACAGGTTAGATAGACATCTGTCAGGGATGGTGTAGACAGAGCTTGGTCCTGCCTTGAGGGCGGGGGGCTGGACTCGATGACCTCTTGAGGTCCCTTCCAGTCCTATTATTCTATGATTCTATGATTCTATGAAGACATGAGAAGTCATTCTTCTGCTCTGTGCTGCGCTGATTAGGCCTCAATTGGAGTATTCTGTCCAGTTCTGATCATCACATTTCGAGAAAGATATGGAGAAACTGGAGAAGGTCCAGAGAAGTGCAACAAGAATGATTAAAGGTCTAGAGAACATAAGCTATGAGGAAAGACTGAAAGAATTGGGCTTGTTTCGTTTAGGAAAGAGAAGACACAGGGGATACATGATAGTGGTTTTCAAGTACCTAAAGGAGTGTTACAAGCGGGAGGGAGAAAAATTGTTCCCCTTGGCATCTGAGGATAGGACAAGGAGCAATGGGCTTAAACTGCAGCAAGGGAGGTTTAGATAGGACATTAGAAAAAAACTTCCTAAATGTCAGGATGGTTAAACACTGGAATAAATTCCCTATGGAGGTTGTGGAATCTCCATCTCTGGCGATATTTAAGAACAGGTTAGAGAGACATCTATCAGGGATGGTTTAGACCAGTGTTTCTTAAACTATGTTCTGCAGAACACTGGTGTTCCGTGAACAACTCGCAGGTGTGCCGTGACCTCTTCTTTGTTTTTGTTACTTCTTTGTTTTTGTCTTTTTTGGTTTGACAACAATTGTTTTTGAAGAAAATTTTCATAGGTGTTCCACATAAATAAATATTATTGTTTGGTGTTCTGTGGTATCAAAAAGTTTAAGAAACACTGGTCTAGATGCTTGGTCCTGCCATGAGGCCAGGGGACTGAACTCGATGACCTCTCAAGGTCTCTTCCAGTTCTAGTTTTCCATGAATCTATGATCTTGAAAGTAAACGAGATAAGAAAGATGAGGGAAGATTATGAAGGACCATGAAAATGAAGATAAGCAGCTTATGTCTCATGCAAAAGAGAAGGAAAAGCCAGTTGAACAGATACTGAGTAAGGGATGCCATGGTAAAAGCAATGGGCTACGACAATGAACTGTGCAGCAGCATTATGAATGAATCTGAGCACAGTAAGCTTGCATTTGACAAAGTTAGTGAGAATCATAGAAATGTAGGACTAGTTGATTACTTGCATTCCTTCTCTTGCTAAATTCCCCCCAGCTCCATCTCTGCAGTACAGCCTGTTCCCCCAGGCAGCATTGTAGTTGGGGGGGGGAGGGGTAGGACAGGCTGCTGCTAAGCAGCCTCTGCCCATAGCACACCCAGGCTCTTTGTGAGCAGCGGCTGCTCTGCATCCTGTGATGCAGCCCCTGTCTGCAGTGGCTGGGGCTGGCCATGAACAGGGGCTCCTCCAGCAGCCACCACCGTCTTCAGGGAGGTCCCAACTGTCAGAGAACTGTCTTCATCTGTGACAAGAGATTGGAGGGGAGAATTGTAAGGGGGAGGGGGAAGGTCATGTTGCATTTTCAACTTGATAATACAATAGATACAGTCCAGGCAGTTTGAATGAAAGATTCCACACACTGCCTCTGTCAGCTGCTTCTCCTTTGTTCTGGAGTGCCTTCATCTAATTCTAAGAAGGGAGTTGAGTTCAAAACCCCTTGAGTTCTTGGGATCTCTCCTGAGTATGATAGCAAGGTGCTGACTGATGATTATTGTGGATGGTGTGGGGTTTAATGAAGTGATGACCTGCTCACTAGTAAACCAGTCAAGACTTAACACTCATGTCACATAGACCATTGCACAATAATGAATTTTTTGGCCTTGGCAACCTGAACCAATAACCTAGAGGAAAGCATTTATAACCTTATCCTGAGACATATAGGTCTAGGAATGCATTTTCCTTTCAGTTTCATCTTTGGAAAGACTAAACCCTAGCAAGTTAATATATTAATGGAAAGTTGAATACCTTCTTGATAAATTTGTAACAGTATTCTGGAAATGTAAACATGCACACCACATACATATACTCACCCACCCCTATGCTGAACTGATTCATCTCAAACTCCCTGCAAAATTCTCTTGAATCTGTCTTTTTTTTGCTGTACAAAAGATCAGCTGCATTGAATTTCCTTAGGAGGATTTAAGTTTTTAAATACCTAGTAATTTTCCCAGCTGAACAGAGCTCCAGAAACTACTTTTGATGCAGAATAAACTCATGATTTTTTTTAACCAAAAGCAGGTTTATTATACAGTTATCATAATCTTAGTTCATAATACTGCATTGCAGCTTCATCTCACCATTTATGGGGAAAGCTGTCAGAGTTATGATATACATATAAATTGGACTGCTGCACATTTTGTCAGATTCAACAATGGAATTTTTTATTACAAGAAAAATACTTATGTGCCACTCAGAAAACGGCATATAATTTCAGACATCAAGACACGGCATTTTTTCCCTCCATTTGTGGAGTAAAATGGAATATATTAGACAGTCTCAAAATTTCAATGGTACTAAATTTCCAGCTATATTGGAAAAAAGCTTTTAAGCAAAAATATCTGCATTCTTAGCTTCTAAAGAAAAGGAGAGTATATGTG